TATATAAACAGTCAGTCAATCAATCAACGCCTGTTGTTTTTACAGATGTTAATGACATGCTGATTATCACAGAAATGTTCTTCTTCTTCATAATGGCGCGAGTTTATTTTCGAACGCGGCTCGGTAACGAAGAGAGTCTGCAGCAAGTCAAGAACAAGATCAATGAAAACGTTCAGAAACAGTTTCCACATTCCTGTCCTAACTGCGGGTTCGATATTGAAAAGGATGGTTTTGGTGATGCCAGTCAGATTAAAACAATTCACACTAATGACAGCGGGATGAGTGAAATTAACAGAGAGGATAAAGAGAATCTACTTACACGTCAGCAGATGTTTGCGATTCTCAACTCCACAGACACTGTGAATGTATAAATGGCTCCCATTCCTTTGTGATCATACTAGGTCTGGCGAACAGCACAATCCAAACAATACATATTACCTGTGTTGAGTCAAATGCACTTAAAATATAGCATTACATATTTGTACTGTATTAAAATTAAATATTGCTAAAAAGATTTTAAAATACATTTGCATTTTTTCTGCAAGCCCCTATGTCATAAACCTACCTTTAACTGGTTGGTAATTAATTTACGCCTGTAAATCAACTTAACGATCTGTCCGATTGGAAATCGATAGCAATTTGATCCTTTTAAAGGAAACATTCCATTTTCTGTTATTAAAACTTAGTCTGTAATATTTTGTATGAGGTGTCCTCTGGCGGTTGAAGATGGTTGCCTTCCAATCCCAGCATCCCGAGTTGTCTTTCCTATGCTTAGGCAATTATTATCTAACACCGCGCTGTGTAAATATCAACTTAATATTATTACACGCTTGCGCAAAAATTTATACACTTTTTTCAAAACCAGCTATGGTAACGTTGGTTACTCAAGTTCGGTGATGGACTTTTCAGACGAATCCAAAAACTGTCTTTCACTTTAAGATCGATCTTGATGTAACATCACAATATAACAGGGTAGACCTTCAAATCATTTTCGAAATGAAATGATTTGAATTATAATTAAGTTAATTAATTATAATTAAGAAAACAAATCAGAAAACGCACAAATGTTTCTATATAGTGACTATATAATGTTATGCCTATATTCCACCTTAAGCTGGTTTGGTTACTTTTTTCAATCGTACACCGATTATTAAGGATACTGTACTGTCAATTGGTGATAACCGAGTTTACGAAGTTTTGTTGGCCTTTTGTTAGCATAATTTCCTAGCCCTGAATATTCAATCGTATAAATTAATCAATGCGATTTATTTATCATTGTATATATCATAATTATGTAAAAATAGAAAATGAGGATAATGATAAAGATGATGAAAATGTAATAATATATTTGTACCATACATGTTTTCGATAGGCTAGTTCGCATATTGTAGGTTTATATATTTTGTATTGTATTTAGTTTCAGCGCCTGATGAATTTATGCATCCTTGCTACTACTAGAAATGTACCCGTATCAAGTGGGCGCAATTAGTAAATTAAATCTTTTTGCTTATTACTTATCACCAATCGGCACTACTCCACTCGTCTTGCCTTTTCAGGGTCTATTTACAGCATTTTCTTTCCTAAGAGTAAAGACGGGGTCGAAACTTGTTTAGGCTAAACTGATATGACAAGTGTCCCCACCTCGGGCTTCTCTTTTTCATCAACTGCATCAGTATCCCCACCTAGTAACATGGTTAGGACAATCGATCATGTGAGGAAACCGAAATTAATCGTATGTTGTATTGATTTTATAAACTTACCAAATAGGTAATGGGAAGTATTTTATATATATATATATATATATATAAAAACATATATTGCCTTGGTTTGGCTCTGTAATCATTAGTGGTAGTGGGACTGGTTTGGGCCCTTCCTAAGCTGGTCAAACGTTTCTTTTGGGTCTATACCCCAGCTGCACTGATGAGTCCTGGAAGGCCGAATCGGATCCGTCTGCAGATATTGGGATTCCTTCCAGTGGATACTTAGTTGTTTATTTTGTCATTCTGATCGGATTTTCTCTACTGTTCCGTTTTAATTATATATATATATATATATATATATATATATATATATATATATAATTTCAGTATAAAATATGTTGGTTAATATTAGGGTTTGATAATACTGTATGATTGAGAAACATGTATATAAAGTATATAAGGCTTACTGCTACAAGTCTCCTGCTGCAACATTTGTTGACATAAGCCTATATAAACTTATGGGAGCAAAAGCAACTAATTCTTCAGCAACACAGTTACTGACAACAAAGTACCACCCCTGGACAAGAGTGCCTAACAAGTAGCAAATTACTCACTGAAGAAGGAATTCTAACGCGTATAGCAAGTACTCATAGTACTCATAGTCAAGAAGGTCTGAACAAGTACACCCTTGGACATTGGGATCTAATGAGTAGCATGTAGAGGGTCAAAGGAGTAGCAAGAGGCTCTAACAGGCAGTGTCTATCGAGTGTACACAAGTAAGTACCCCACCACCTGAACAAGAGGGTCTATCGATTAGTAAATAAGTACCGGTACCCCTTGACAAGAGAGTCTAAAGTAAGTACCCCTGGCGAAGAGGGTCTAACGAGTACTGTAGCAAGTAAAGTACAGAAAGTTTTCAGTCATATAATATTCTTTATTGGAAAAATGGTGGAATATGTTTTACGTGGTATAGCATTCAATGCTCAAGACCTAACTCAAAAATACAGTACTGACTGTACAAATAACTGGCCATAATATAAATTACTGTATATACTGTATAAACAGACTGTTTTCAATAAAAAAAAAAATTTCTATACATAACTTAATTATAAACTTATCGGGGTTTGATTACTTGGCGAAGACATCCGTAGTCTGTTGACTTGATATATACTTGATAAAAAAAATATCGTGGATAGTTTACTGCAAGTACTTGCATTATTTACCGTAGACTGTACTCTTTGAGGTTGACATAACACTTACGTAACTAAACTACGGGTCTAATATTGCATTTAAAATCGTAAATCAACTACGACTTTGCGCTATCGAATTTAGTTATTCGGACGAGGCCTAATACGGTGCACTTTACAGTAATGAGTAGGCCTAACTGAAAGATGAAACATGATTATTTTTTAGTGAAAACAAGGTCCTAGTTTTGTCACAATGTTGCTTCAACAACACATTTGCCATTACAGTGCACAAAGAGTTTCTACAACCTTTTTATCATAACATCTAATTGGTATGCCTAAACTTGTTTTATTACATGTTGTCCACATTACGTCTTGATTAATATAATGTAATTTCTACGTAACTGACACAGACACTAAGAATCACATCGTGATGACATAGCTGATAAACTTGTTAACAATACCAGGGAACAGTTAAATTACACAATACAAATAACATCCGTTTAAATGCTCCTCCTCCCTATTGACATTCCCACTAAACACCGCCCGTTAGATATTGGTCCTACAAAACAACAGCATGGACGGGGACATGCACATTCTCTCCATAATACAGTAAGGCCTATTGATATTTAAATCTTTTAAAACACTGCTACAATTAGATGACCTACTCAATTATATTTACTTTTATTTAAAAATATTGATCACTTACGAATTCTGATTTACGATAATCAATTCTTTGCCAGTGTGATAGTAAATTAATTGGTTGGCTTTCATTCATAAAAATTCTACTAAAGATCTAACAAAACGATGCACCTGGCTTCTGCATATAAAATCTTGTAAGAAAAAACGAATACAGTACATTCTGTCCACACAGGGCTTCATCATATGATAGTCAAATCATGGTCAAATCTGATGTAGGCTTATCAAAAGCAAGATGTCCTACATTTGAGCCCTAACGTGTGAACACCAGCGTTGGATGGCGACAATCTGACAAATACTGTTCTTCAGTGCCACATTTATTCTTCAGTATACGTTCCTATTACTTACAGTTAAAGCACAGTGTTTATTTTTATATAACTTCTGGTTTATCTGGTTCAAGTCGTGTTCTGATGTATCCTGGTTTTCTGGAATAGCAGCGCGACATGGTCAACGCAGCTACAATGAACCAAATTGAGAATGCAATCCACGAAGCAATCTAACAGGTGAATAAAAATAACATTATGATTCAATGCTGTTTTTCTGTTTTTGGTAGGCTTACTGTATCATTAACAGAAGTATCAAAGTACTGCTTTGTCGTAGCATGTGCCACTTCGATTCTACCAGATTAAAAATAGATGCATACAGGTCTATAAATGTCTGGCACTTGATTTAAAATGACTATTTGGATTTTAATTTAATATATTAACCACATCTTTTAATAAAGACATACCACTAGCATATGATAATGTTTACCTCGGCATTGTGCAGAATATCATAGAACTTAGCATATCCAGGGTTTTTGAAGATGTCACCAAGTCTTTTATTCTGGTAATCCCTGCAACTACAATGTAATAGTTCCAATCGTTATGAATATCATACTATTAAAAAAAGATTTTTTTTTTCTGGACAAACCACCATGTAGTTTAGTAGGTAGGTCCGACATTGTAAACACGGCACTAACGAAATAGACCTAGTCATAAAACAGAAAATAAACATTTGACTGATACAACATACTCAGACGGTATATACCTAGGATTGTGTGTCTATCTTACCTATCATCCTTTATTATATAACTTTAGTACTGTACTTACTTGTCACGTTTTCTTGGTGACTTTTCATATATTTCATTGCACAAACTTTTCAGTCCCATTGTTATCAGGATAGAGACAACAAACAGTAAAAGGGATAAAATTCCATAGGCGAAGATACTCACTACCTGTAGGAATTTCCTGTATACGGAAACACAAAGCAAGATTTTTATATTTTTTTTCTTAACAATAGGCTACATGCATTTCTTGCTGTTTAAATACACCCTGTAATTTTCCCTAATATTCACTATATTCAAGGGGGGGGGGGTGTAAAGGAAGGGGCTTATTCAAAGAGGATTTTTGATGTAAACTGAATTGAGTTTTATTTCACAGGAATTGTCAAGCACAGCACAAAATTATTTTCAAAAGGTGTTGTTAGGCTGTATGAGCCCAGGTTGGCAATATTAATTGAATTATGAGTAAGACATTAATGATAAAATATGTGGAAAATGGTTTTTCCTCTGTTAGATTTTTTCACATCTATTTGGTGGTTACGTATACATGATGAAAGAAATTATTCCAAAATGACATACTGTACAGGTTATATGCGAAGCGTTCGTTCGAGTGTGTGCTTATCCATGTACCGTATACGGTAGGTCTATTATGCAGAAGATATTATGAGACAAATTTCCACTTAACAAACAAACTGAATTAAAAACCTAGAATAAATATTTGCAATTTATTAAACCTAAAATATATTTGATTTCGTTCATCAATTTAAACAATTTTGATTTATGAGTCGACGTTTTAAATCAAACTCCTTCAAACCATTTAAAGACGTCCGATTATAACAAGGAGCAAAACTTAACTTAATCTCAGCATCATACTCATCCACACACAATATCTTTAAATTTAATTATCCGTCAATAAATATAATTGGTCTAGACTGGATCAATCAATTTCATTTAAAATTAAAATATAATTTTAACATGTTATGCTTTACTGCTTGACTAATAAGAATAGTAAGTACTTTATTCTTATACAAAAATATGATAGGCACTATAGTGTGGATATGGATTTGTACTCACGATCCTTCTTGGCCCCGAATCAGTTTATACAGCCAATAGATCACATGGAAGGCCGCGTAAAGAAATGACGCAATGTGAACACTGATCGGAAAACGACATTTGCTCGAATGATGCGCCGCCGCATTCCTTGATATTACCTGTATTTCAGCAAATAAAAGACACGAACCATCGTTGTCATGCTAAAAACAGAGAATAATAAAATAATCACGAAGCATACACATTTTGACATTAAAGTTATGCGTACTGTAAGTCCCATACAGAAATATTCAAATACTTATAAACAATGATAGGCCTATTAACAGTAGGCCTAATGATGGTGATACATAGTATATTTCTTTTTAACAGTAATAACATAATTAACACAAAACAAACAAAAATTGGGTTGCCGATTTTATTTGTCGCATTGGTGTCTTAAGGCCTTCTCATATGCAATAATTTCCTTGAATAAACTCCCACTAATTGACTGTAAACAAAAATAATGAAATCAACATCATTCTCAACACATTCTATTAATGTTCTTCTACTCCAGTAGAATTAGATTTTCACCTGGCTGGAATCAGCAAATGATCCCGCAATACACATCTTGATGGTAATTACTGTATTATGTTGTAATGCTCACACAGCGAAATTAAGGGGCGTTTATTTGAGTAAATTCGTATCTATTTAATACACCAACAAAAAATAACGCCTCTCTAAATGCCACCTCAAAAACACTTCTCAACAATAAATGCCCCCGGGGGAAGAAATACGGTATATAGGCCTATGCCTATAATATTATTTATTATTACACTGTTTACAGGCAGGTTTTAACAGTATGTCTCATTAGCAAAATCGCCAACCTTGTAAAAAAAAAATTAGCTACAGTAATTAACTTTAGCAGTTTACCTGTTAATGTTATAATAAAATTGCTAATTAAAATGCTCATGGGAATCATTAGCCTACTTAGTCAATGTTATTTTTCACATTTTTAACAACATCTCATGGGAGGTACAGGGGCGGATCCAGGGGGGGCCATGCCCCCCCCCCCCAAAAAGAGAAAAGATCATATCTAGGCCTATTTATTACTACAGTACTTCAGTTGGTGTTGGTTTTTGTTGATTACGCTGGGGCGCATCAACAAGGCTCATGGTGAACATGTGGTCACTAAATGATAGAAGTCAATCTTTTGGTATAGTTACCGTACATCGGTATTTGCGAATTTTATTTATGAGTATATAATCAATTAATGCCAACATAATATCCAACATAATAATATATAATAATATATCGCACGTACAAGTCATTAGAGTCATTCGGCAGAAAACGTGTTTACGAATTATCAAATATATTTTTCACGACTTCATAACAATAATATATATGTTGAAGCTTGTGGTACACCAAGTAAGTAGTTCTGAAAAGAACTGTTGTAGTTGAGAAAGTCTTGACGTTTCGATTGAGGTGCTTCAATCGTCTTCAGGAGAATAATATCTGCAGACACTCCAAACAGGGAAATACTTATATGTTTGGGTAGAGAGGCTGGATGGTGATAAACTGTACACTACTTACGTGGTGTACTGCAAGCTTCAACATATATATTATTTCTTCGCCATGCAAACCTTTAAGCAATACTTCATAACAATAGCAACACAATCTAATTCTTTAAATTAGAATGCCGTGTACAACTGTCTTAGTGTTACTTTTTTCAAAAAATTTCCTAATATTGGGAGGGGGACATAATAATAATAATAATAATAATATGTTGTTCTTATATAGCGCTTAATGCCTTAACAAAGCCTCTAAGCGCTTCACATTACTACCCCGGTCATTGGATCAAACACATATGGAACCCATTGAACACCAAATTAAATTATTAAATTAAATTATATTATTATTCCATAATAATATTGCGGCTAGTAATCAGCACAGTTGTGTTGGAACCTACCAGGTACCCACTTGTACTCCTGGGTGGAGAGAGGCAACCGTAGATAAAGTGCCTTGCCCAATTGGACACAAGCGATTTGCACAGCGAGAGTTTCCAACCACCGACCTCGAGGTTGGGAGTCCAAGCCACAACCGATGCGCCAACCACTTCTACATTCATTGTTTAATAGGACAAAGGTATCCATATGGGGGGTGGGGAACTTATCGTATGCCTTGGTTTGCCCAGGGAGGTATAAAAATAAGTGGTGCCCTTTATAAACAAGAAGTAAGCCTACTATACGGTAGTACGGTATAGGACTGTATAGACCCTTACACAAAAAGCTGGGCGAATCCAGAAATGTCCAAAAAGGGGGTCGGAAGGGGCTTAAAGTGGGACCGATCGAGATACCAATACCCTAGGGGTACGGGGGAATAATCCCACGAAATTTCTGTGTTCTAGACGCCCGAAAATCACCTCAGGCCATTTGGGCGATTAATTTTTTCTTTTTCTATTTTCTTCTTTTTTTTTTTTTTTTTTACTTTCCGAAAGGGCGACGGGCAAGGCCAGCTCCCCTCTAAATCCCCTGACAAGTGTGCATTTCGGGTGGCATTAACTCGCGGCGCTGATGATAGCTGGTGGAGTGTAACAAAAAATTACTATAGGCAAGGCCTAAACTAATAAGGCCAATTGTCGAATGTATAAATTATAGGCCTACTTACTCTTGACATCGATATAAATGCCAATGTAGCCAAGTTTGCTCCACAGGCCAAGAAAAGCAGTATGATTTCAACAATTGAATATCGAGATTCCACACTACTACACGACGCCATTGTGAACGACTAGGCTTTAGTGCCTTAATTAATACAAAAGCAGCACGAAGGTGTACGACTGATGAATCAAACGCGTCTTTAGATGAATCATCGGCGGCCGACGAAAGGAACAGACACACGCTAAAAAAGCCAGCCTCACACGCTCTAAACACGCTGCTGAACTAGTCTCTATTATACTAGCCTACTACTACTAGGCCTAGTCGCCATTGTTGAAATTTCGATATAATGTCGGCGTTAACGTCATCTGCAAATAGCCAATTTATCATAACCGTCTGCTAACATGAACTTCGGTCATCGAAAGGGCAGGTAGATTAGATTGTTATCTGCGTCAAACGAAGACAAAGGGGAGTGGCCAAGCACCAGCGCGCGGTGGCCTACCCTACAGAACGGTTGCATCGGTCGGTAAAGCGGATACAAACAAAAAATATAGGTAGGCCAAGCTATCTATATTCTTTGATACAAATCAAAACGAATTCTGGGGCGGGTGCGTGAGAGTCCACACCATCTCAGCCCCACATGGTTGGGATTGGGGTCCGAAAATTGTGTGGACCTCAAGGTGCCGGCGGAAATTGCACTCTCACACTCTACTTTGAAATAACTTTGTTCATGAATAGGCCTATCATCAACAATACAATACAACAATTATTTTTTATTTAATACAATTTAAGTGGTGCCTCTAATATAGGCGTGGGCCTATATATATATAACTAGAAATTGTAAGTGAAGTGCTGCGAAGTACAACTGCATATAAATGTTCTTCGAACAAAATTATTTATGCGAGTCAAGTGAAAATAATGAATAATAAAAATATAACAAATGAGACACGACCCATTGTCTATAATTAGAATACTTCTCATATTATTGGGTAACAAAGTCGTAATTTTTCATTTTTGTCAAAAAGTGTCTATAGTGGTGAATTATGGTTTAGGTTTTTTTAAATAAAGTTTCAAAAATGTATGTGGAGAATGTAGTTGATTACCAAAGGTTACAATTTTTATTTTGAAGACTGCATGGTCTAGAAGTGTACATTTTTTATCGCCGTGGCTAGACATACGGTACCGTATTTCTACTTCAATTTGCTAAAGGTACGGTAAATGGCATTACGTCACCATCACCCAATGAAGTGCCAGAATGTGCGTGACGTCATTTTTCAAGACTGGCATTATTGCAGATCACCCGCGATGAGCGGTGAAACGAGAATGATCATAAAACAGTTGGGAAACTAGAACATAAAAAGTACAATATTGTTTGACTTAAGTACTGTTATCGATAAATAGGCTTATGGTTCCATTTAGTAAAGAGTTTCATTTAGCTAGGCCTATGTATAACCATTATCAAACAAGGACTGATTCCACCAAACTCTTGGCATGCCTTGCTTAAATTCTTCGCTTGGCGAAAAATCTAAGCAAGCCTGCTCGGCCTTGCTTGGATTCTGCTTTTCACGGCAGCTGCTCTGATAATCACTGTTATGGTACAGAATCTAGGCCTAGATCGAGAGAATAAGTTTCCCCTTTGTGATTATTACAATTGAGTCAAATTTTCCAATAATTTTGATGCAGACCTTAATACTGTCATAGAAAAATAGGCGTACCACTCAATAATAAAGTCATGTCATTATATAGCCTTATCAAGCAAGGCATCATCCTCAGGACTTAGTCCGAGGCACATGTATGTACACACTACTGCTAGTCTTTGGTAATCTATTTATATGACAACACTTGCAATAAAAAAATGAATATACTGTAAACAAGAGAATCCATACAGGCCTACTTTTACTATAAAGTGGAACCATACGCCTATTTAAGGATGACAGTAAAGTCCAACAATATAATTGTACTTTGATGTTCTAATTTCCCAGTACTGTACAATGATCATTCTCCTTCCCCATATGACAGGTAGGTAAAAATGGCCCCAATGAAAAATTCGGTAATAGAAATGATATATATATATTTTTTAATCTTCAAATATTTAAATACTGTATAAGCAAGAATTGAATCAAGAAATAAAAAATGGCCCTCAATTATAAAATTAAAGAAAAAAAAAAAAAATAAATGTTGTAAAATACCTTGTAGCAAAAATTTAATTAATAGATCAACATAAAGAATATGCATATTTGAGAACTAAAATAAATTAGTTTTTAGCTCCTACGAGTAGCTCTGAGAGTAGGTCTAAGTATTTTTTTAAATTATTAATATTATTAGATATTATTACTATATTTGCGGCCAATTATTAATATTATTATTATTAATTGCTCTGATGGGAGGCTCTAAAACATTGATTCGGCACCAGTTTTGAACGACGAACTTGCAAAATCATTAATTTCATTTAAAAACACACAAGTTACTGATTGATTAAATAATTCTATTTTAAATAAGAAATGATTATGCACAGTAAAGGTAACATAGGACAACATTTAAAAGATCATTATATTAGTGCTACTGAAACTGTTAATTATTTCAAGGCTTTATCTAAGTGCAAATCCAAGTTTGATTGCTTAATTAAAGAAATGCTTTGGATCAAAGAACTGAAACCTACACTTAACAAACAAACTGATTCAGTCAAAGCCAAACTGTTTATCTAGTTAATCTGCTAAGAAGGGCTAATTATTGCTTAGCTCCAATGTGGCTCCACACAGTAGGCCCTATTGATATATAAATTAATTACTTACTTCCTGTCACTGCTTGGCATTTTTGTTTTTAGTTTTTTCAATTTACTTAATCTTGAAATGGTTCCATGATGGACCCGAAACGTCGATCTTTCTTATCATTAAATTTTGTTTTGAGATTATGTTCTTAATTGATTTAATAAATAAAAGCCACAAATAATTTGATTTACTAAATTTCATTATGTAAAAATAGTTATGCTTTAACATAGATTAAAAATATGTTATGCCTTACTTATTTTTAATCTATGGTCTTTTTAATTAATTTTCTTTTTTTTATTAGAAATTCTGTAGTGCAGAGTAAATTTATCAAAACCCATTAGGTTTACAGTAATATGAAAAAAAAATTTAGTTTATACAGAAATAGTATCTAAAATGGTCTCAGTTTCCAAAGTTAAAGCAAAAGATCTAATCTAAACACACAATATTAGGCAGGATGTATTTGTTTGGAAAAGAACCCACTCTTTTGTGAAATTAAGAGGTTTATAGGTGGAAATTGTAAATTTAGAAATAAGTTTTATTTTTTCCTTTGAACTGAGATCAATATTTTTTTTAATTTCTTTAAAAGCATTTGTATTTTAACAATTACAGCAGATGCAAATAATGTTCTGAGAGATAATTGAAAAACAATGGCCATTGAATAACATTTATTGATAGTAGAAATAAAAGTTTTAAAAACGTTATTTCACTAACAAAGTAGAGGAATGACATAGAGTATACAGTACTTCAACTACCAAAATATGCAACTCAGAGATAACCACAAACTTCACTTTTGTTAAATATCAAATGAATTAACTTTACATGTTATAAACAATGCAAATAAACAGTAGTTAAAGCATGTGGATCAATTGTGTGTTTGAATCACAAGTTCATGTAGGGGAAAAGGGAGAGGCTTACTTTCTCGCAAACTTAGCAATAAATTGTCTGCTTAGAGTTTATTCAAAGAAGTATTGCTTTTAGTAAACTGAATAATTAAGAATACATTTATTTAAGCAACTAATTTAGTTGCATACTTGGTTTTTACTCATTACTAACTAAATCCAAGTGCCTACAACTGGCTCGAATTATATATAGTTATGTATGGCAATTATGCCATATTATTGTGAGGGTAGGGTGATTATGGTAGGATTAACTAGTATTGCTAAATCCCACAAACCTCCCAAAACACACTGTAGAAAATGAAACAATTCAATTGCGATTGACTGACTTGGTATATCAATAATTATGATTGTAGAACTCTCTTTTTCTTAAAAAAAAAAAAATAATAATTTGATGTTCATACTAACCCACTGTTTGTGGGGTTTACCAATACACAGATTGAATTTCTGGAAAATTGTGATTCCGCTTCAGTGAAATCGGCCACAAGTAAATTATTTTAGTATTAATAAATGCATGATTTATGTTGATTTATTGATTA